ATCTGTTTACTTACTTAATGCAATCGCTGTGTGTGTCCTCCGCTCTTACTGCCAAACACTCGGCATTGTTTTATTGACACAAAGTTATATATTATAATTATTATTACTGTTTTTTTGCCCCCACATACACAGTGTCTCTCTCTGCAGCAGGTCGCAACAGCGAAGGCCCACTGAAGTGGCCAGAACGCTGTTTAATTTCAAACTTAGTCGAGTGCCCTACAACTGCAAGTGGATGAGGAGACACAGCAGCAGCAGCTGATTCACTTGCAATTTATTCATTAGTAAGTATTTAAGCGAATGCCAACGAATGCGCTCTTCTCTTCGCTCTTCCCGCACAAATTCAAATTTACGTTATCGTTCGGACAGCGTTAAGCCCCGTTGGCTGATCAATCGCTGACTCGCTCACGGACGACTGTGATTGTGATAAAGGTGATTCGGTAAGGCCAGAGCACGTTGTCGGGCTCCTGGCACTGGGTTCGACTACGACGCGACCGCCTCGGTTCAGCGCTTCATGGAAACTGAAACGGAAACTGAATTGAATCGGCAGACTCGGCCAAGTGCCGCGAAGTGCCGTGTCGCTCGGGGGTGTTCGGGCCGTCTGTCTGTCCCCATCTATCAGTGGGATTGGGCTTGGGGCTTCCATGCCAGTGAACTGTGGATCCCAATCCTGTCGGAGCACACAGCCAAAATATTTCGACAATTGTGCAGAGCAAACATTCGAAATTTGAATATCCAAAGCTCACTTAATTCGCAAAAGTAATGTTTAATTAGGGCCTAAAATGGTGTGATATGCGAACAGTTAAACTCTCTCCCCTCCACTGATAAGCAATTACGGAGAACAGAGATTTGAAGTGAGTTTCCCAAATGTAAGTGTGTTCGCGGGTACTCGGGAAATCTAATTTAAGACTTTTATGATAGCCTTATGGACATATAGACATAGTAATAGCTGCCGCCCCGCGTCCACATGCTTATCCATATATATTGAGTGGGTAAATACATATGTACATATGTATATCTACCTATTGTTTGTACATTTTATACGTTATTGCCTTGCAGATGCGTCTTCTATTGCTATGGCTCTCATAATGAATAGTGTCAACAGCTGCCTGCCCCAGCACTCGCTTCTGTGTGGATGTTGTTGTATTTTGATTGCGTTCCACAAGGTTCATTTTGAATGCAAGGTGAATGCTTCCACAGAGCTCCAGCTCCACTGACTGACTGCCGGCTGCCCCCTCTATGGAAGGTAAACAAAGGCATGCGCCCTGACGTCAAGCCGAGGCAACCGGAACAAGCCGCAGCCAAAGCGAAGCGAAGTCAAACCAGAGCTTGGACCACAATGAGCGCCAATATCTGACTACAGATGGAAGGAAGGACTCTGGCTTCAAATCGATCTATCCAAAGAGTGGAATACGAAACAGATTTCGTTTATTCGACACTTTTCCGACTGGGGTGCCGGTAAAAACTAAAGCAAACTTCTGGGCTGCACATGGAAATGCCAGCACTCAAGTAAAGTCTCACCCTTAACTGCTTCATTTATTCACATTTAACCTGCTTAACTGATGTATCTGTATCTCTATCTGTGGCTGTGGTGCACAGTTGGACATCACTTAGATTGATTAAATGTGAGTGAAATCAGTGCGAGTGCGGTTCCGGCTAAGTGACGTCTGTGGGCTCGATGGCTCAGCAAAACTGGTGTCTAAACAAAAGCATTTACGAGTATCGTGAAAAGGGTAAAGGGCAAAGTCAAGAGGGATCACAGCGTGGGCGAAGGGTAAAGGGTGAAAAACCATTTCTAGTTTTGGGCCGAAGTTTCTGCAACATCATTTAATTATCAAATGCACGTACATAAGTGAGTTTTGCAGTGACAGGAAGGTCGTCACCCAGTCGCAACCCCTTGCATTCGCCAAACAACTTCAAGGCTGCTGCGTGCAAAAGTTTGCTCCGTCTCAAGTTTCCGGCGAAATAGCGAACAAAAATACAAAATAAAAGAAAAAACCTTTCCTTGTCATTTCTATGCAGACCCTGCCACACTCTATACTCCACAGCTAAATTGAGTTTAACAATTTGTCTTAGTGGCACTTGCAATGGATTCAGTAATTGCCTGACAAATCGCTTCCCTACTTGTTGTGGTGCATGCCACACGCACAAGCACACACGCACACATCCACACGCTCATCCATAAACAGCATCCCGCACTCTGTATTCCCAGTTTTGAGGGGAAGTCGCAGGATACACGACTATTTGTCGCCAAATGTCCTGGCACCATGTGTTCTCTCCCAAGTCATAAACTTTTAATTTCGCCCGCATAATTAGTCTGGGGAAATGGAAGCCCAATGTCCCATCCCAGACATTGTCCCCAACTCGACTTGGTTTTAATTGATAGGTGAATGAACCCGCTGTGCCCCTAATGCACCGCCTGTAAAGGGGCCTCTAGCTATTAATAATTTTTAATCAATAAGCGTAAACTGTATCCTAGATGGAGGCTGTACCAACAGACACATTTTATACACACTTTCTGGTGCCTGCCCTCTGCCATTGTCCGTTTAGCCGATTAATTGGGCATTAATTGGTTAATCAATTTAGCAACTGGCCAGCCAATACGCACAGCCCTCGAATGGCAATGAAAATGGCAATTTTCGATGCGGAAGCCAACAAACAAATGGCTCTAAATTCCAGTTCCACTCCTCGTTCCACAGCAACCGCAAAAGCCACACAAATATCAAATGCGTACAATCCACGGAAAGGCACAAAAACTGAAAAACATTATTGGATATTATGAGGAAGACCGGAAGCGTAGCATGGGACAAAGGCAGGAGGAGATAGATACACACAAATACAGGGATTTATGGGAGCAGACTCGTACTCGTACTCGTACTCGTACGAACTGGGATCTAATCTATTTGGAAATTGTATCCAGCGAAAGTTTCAGTAAATTTGGGCTTTAAAAATGAAAACGATTCCCACTGACCATTCCCCTTGGCACTGGAGGTGGCATGTGGCAGGTGGCAGGTGACAGCTGGCATTCGGTAAGCACTTCTGATTAAAGTCACACGCTGCAGCAAGCAACATGATCTGGGAATTGTTCAACCTGCAACAACCTCTCGATATAACGAGTGTGTGTGTTTGTGTGCCCGTGCTGGCGAAACACCAACCGGGGCAGCCATAAATAATACCACATGAAGTTTAAAATGCAATAATGCAATTTATTAAGAACTTATGCGGAGTTAAAACAGCGAAGACCAGCAACGACCTTCGGTGCAGACAGACGCGGCAGGCAGGTCGGAAACGGCACGGAATCGGAATCGTGGTGGAGAGCAGAAGTCCAAATGCTCTAGCGAATCAGTAAGTCCTTAAGTTGGCTAAAAGTTTCAGCGAAAGTTGGCAACTTTTTCTGGTTGGCTGGAACTTTTCCCAGAGGATGCTGCGACTGCCACCGCCGCCTTAATGGACGTGGCAAGGCGGAACATTCCGAGCATATGGAAGGGTATTATGCACGGCGCGTGTAATGTAATTTACGCAGCATGTTGCCACACACATACACACTCACACACACATGTGGCCAGGGCAGAGCAGAGCAGGAGCTGAACTTGGGGCATAAAGGCTGGGCTCTGACCAGCCTGCCTCCGGCATCCGCCACCGACGGACTCAAGCTCCATTTTGGTGCCGGTGCTGGTGCCCCTGCTTCAACTCCATGCCGTGCTCAGCACTTACGTAAATGCCTTATGACAAAAGTTTTTCCCCTTTGTTGTTATTTGCCTGTTTTTAAAAGTCCCAACCCAAATAATTGAGTTTTTCGCATAATTTGCTTTATTTTATTTTACTTGCAGGGAGGGAGAGAAAGTGAGAGAGAGAGAGAGAGGGATGCCGCAAAAGGTAAGCAAACAATCAATAGTCTAGTGTAGCTCCTTGGTGCTTGGTCCTCCTCCCCACCACATGGCCACCTCTGCTGCATTATCGTCATCCAAATCGGATGGCATGCTCGGTTTTGACAAACACTAATTAAAATGAATTATTTAATGCAGAAACATCGATGCGAAATTACAGAGATTTGTGTAAACCAATTAAAATGCACAGGTTGGATAATAGGTAGGTCGGTAGGCGTCTACTGCACTGTTAGACTAAATGCAGAAGCGAATTTGCAGCATAAATCCATTTATAATTAATATGTACAAATGAATGCGATAATTAAAAATGCGCGCATCTGAATCAATGTACCAAAAACAGACCCACAAAATCCAACCAAAGCAATTAAGTGATTAATTATAAATTACTCAGGATCCGTGGCACTTTCAATAGGATCTGACAAAAAAAAAAACAGAATACTAAACAAGCGAGTCACAACAAGAGCCATTTCCTGAAATCCACAGCAGGCATTACTATTTAGGACTTCCGGGAGAGACTTCCCCTTTTGGCAGTAGAAAATCCAAAAGAGAGTTAGAGAGCGAGAACCTTGGGCTTAAAGAGTTCAGTTTATTACAGGTGATACAAACACTTAATACATGTCTATGAATTTCATAGGTTTATAGTACAGTATAGTATGTAAATATATTTTACTCTTTAACACATTTACAAGATATTTTATTAAACCTTACAATGCAGCTTGGCAAAGAGGAATTTATTGTTTTACATTTTATTATTACAGCTCATTGTGTTGATTTAACTCATCTCATGCTTCTAGTGTCCGATTCCACATACATATGCACTTTCTTTTGATCAATCAAAATCTTCAGTATAATTATATATATATGTATATATATAAATCTTTAACACCTTGGTATTTGTATAGAGGTAGGATAACAATTGTCAATTGATGTTCATTGATTATGATAGAATGCATTTAATGCATTTCCATAGGATGCGGTTTCTTACATTCCACTCAAATAACAGATGAAACCGTTCTCGGTGGTGGTGGTTCGTGGTTTTTTTAGTGTGGTTTTTGTGGTCTCTGTAGTTGTGGTTCTGGTATAGAAATTGCTTAGCATACACTTGAAATACTGCAGTGAACAATGATTTATGATTTATTTATAACCAACCAGATCTAACATGGAAATATATTCATACTTAAATTAATACAATTTGCTACAATTTAGGCCATTGAGCGACGCGACAACCCCCTTCAACACTGTACTGCGCTGATGGGTGCGTGGGGATTTCTTTTACAAATTACGAATAGTATACAATTATTGAGAAAAATATACAAGTATGCATAAGTGTATGTGTGTGTGTGTATGTGTGTGTTACGATTTTTACATGCCCAAAAAACTCTACGAGTAGCAAAAAAACTATTGAATATCACTCGTATGTATGGTTAAAATTTGCAATTTTCAGATTCAAAATTCAATTCAATTCACTTGCATGAAATATATGTATATAGGCTTCACAATAAACTTTATAAACGCCATTTAATCATATCATTTGTCAATATATTCTTTTTTATATATTTAGTATATGGTATATGTGTTTATCTGTAAAATAGGGAGTTACGATTTTTACAAGCACATGCACATACCCCGTGAGAGTAATTTCTTTTCTCTAAGTAGATTATAAATTCGATTAAAGCGCTTTAATTCTAGGGGCAGGGCAGGGATGATCTGATGGTGACACTCTACATTCAGGTAGATTATTATTGCATTAAATTTAGGCATAGATAGGCATAATTGTTTATCGTTACACATTACACGTTAGACCTGTATTTCAATTGCAAAAACAAACTTAGAACGAACGCTTAACTCTTGAATAGGATCTACAGATACAAGTTGCGAGATACGAGTACTCGTACATATTATCAATAAAAAAATATCTATAGTACTTGGCTGTGGAGCTGTGCCTGTGCCTCCTCCCCCTCCATCTTCATCGGTTCTGCTTAGCCCTGCTCTGTTCTGTGCGATTTCTATGTACATTGAAAGTTGCTTGTTTTGGCACTCATCCAGTGGATAGTCAAGGGAGTTTATAGTTTATACATAATACATAATCTCTGTTTTTTATTAGAGGCTGAACGTAATTACTTATTCAGTTTCAAATATACACAGTTGTTGGATTGGTTCGAGCATCAATCAGTCCCCTAGTTCTACTAATTTCCAGCTTAGCAGCTGCTGTAGATCGATCTCTCTCTTGTTCTCTCTCTCTCTATGCAAATCTCATCAATGTTGTCATAAAAACCGCTGCAGTATGCACTCTACTCTACGCGCCTCGAACTGATCTCTGATCCTCGAGCTCAGTTGTTGTTTTTCCAGCGCGAGAGCAAAAGCCTCCAGCGATTTTTACGCCTTCTGCTTCAAATTTGCCATATCAGTAAATGGTTGGTGCTGTCCTCGCGGCCGGCGATCTCACTGAGGGAATTGGCGCCCGAGTTGCGGAAGTCCTCGTAGCCATCGCCGCCGGAAATGATCAATGTGTTGTTCGTCTCCGACTTGGATTTGGAGTGCTTTATGGAGCTGCAATTGAAAGAGTTGAACAAATGTTTCTCCGTTACTGCTTCTCCAGTGAATTTTTCCACTCACCCCTGCTTGGTGTACTCATCGCTGGCGGAACCACTTGCCTCACGGGCTCCTGTTGTCCCCTCCAGCCCGGTGGTCTCCACAAACGTGAGGAATCGCACATGGCCGGTGTGGCCGTGGGGAATGCCGGTGGGCACAATGTTGACGGCGCCCTTCTCGTAGCCCAGGGCTGGTATGGTCAGGAGGACGCCCGCACTGGTGCCAATCCAGATGAGATCCTTGCAGCACAACAGCGAAGTCACACGAAGGCAGGCGGCTTTGTGTTGCCTAATGATCTCGTCGCAGTTGGAGAGCATTTTGTTCACGGCCGGCGCGAGATTCACTTCGGTGACTAGCTGGTGGCTATTCGGATAAGTAGAGTGGTCAAGACTTATGGGTCATCCGTATTGATTTTATCAGAACTTACGTATTGGAATGGAAACATTTAATGTGCGCCGAATTCTGGATGGATATCCAGACAAAGTTGCTGGCGACTGTCATGTTTGTGATTGGCTTCGAGTCCGATGATATTTGTATCTGATGAATGACCTGCAAAGTCTCCACATCTAGGACCTTAATGATGCCCTGAATGGAGCACCAAAGCCTGCCGTTGACATTCAGCAACTTGGTCACGGGACTGGTGACGGTGCCAATAGATAGGCAATGCGATGAGCACGTATTCCACGATGTGGCTAAAGAGAGATTCAATGAATACTCGCTTGCAGTTGGAATTAACCGACTTACCTCCATCTCTCAGGTAAACACAAATATCACCATTTGCCAACGACACAAACACACGATTGTCCAGATACCTATCGAGTCATTGAAAGAGAAGGCAATTAAGTAACCTCAGTAATCTTCGCTGCTGATTCTATTATTCATTGAAACACTTACAAAATAGAATAGACGGCCGAATGGTGCTCGATCTTGATGCGGTTCTTCTTAATGCGAATATTGTCAGTGCTATTGTAGACGTGGATGCAGCCGTCTTCGGTGCCGATCCACATGGTTGATTGATTGCCCTCGCCCTCCTCGGGATTCGAGTCCTGCAGAAGGAATCCAGAATAAGGTATATGAATCTCAAGGTGTAAATGCGAGTCAAGTGTCTCACCTGATGGCCATGATATCCGGCTTGCAGTGAGGGGGCGGGACTAGGCACACGTTCCACTATTGCTCCAGATCCAGATCCAGATCCAGCTCCTGTGCTAGCGCTGGCAACGTTGAGCGAGGCGGAGGCTGAGGCGGAGGCGGTGGCAGCGGCTGCTTCCGTCTCATCGTCGCTGGAGCTCAGATTCAGATCCAGCTGAGTATCACTGTTGCTGGCAGCCACCGTTACGACACCGTCGACAGCCACCGGCGTGGGCGTGGGTGTCTTTTTCTTCTCGGGAGTGGGCGTGGCCGTTGAGGAGGAGCCGCTCTGGAAGCTGGGGGAGATGCTCTTGCGGTAGTCCCGCAGCTGCTGAGTGTAGCTCTGACTGGGCTGCGACTGCGGCTGCTGTGAGCTGTTCCGTGGCTTATCCTTCTCCTCCTGGGCTTGCTGCTCCCCACTACTGTTGCGACTCGAGGCAGAGGAACTGTATGCCGGCACAGAGGCCACGCACAAGATGCGCGCATTGCAGACGCCGTTGCAGCTGGTGACGTTCGGCTCTGGGTGCAGCGACATGATGCACACCTGGCCCACATATCCGTCGCTGTTGCACACCCAAACATCCCGGTTCTCGCTCAGCGTAGCCGCCGCACATGTGAACTGCAGTCCGGCGCGGGTCTTTCGTATTGGTATGGAGGTAAGGAACTCGGGGATGGGATGTCTCTCCAAAGTGGCAGCTGGAAGAAGAGCTTCGCCAATCAGTGTCCCCCTTCGGTAGATACTTTGATGGATTGCTTACCCAGCTTCTGCTTAGCCTCGATGAAGGTCTCCTCCCAAGCCGTGCGCTTCTCCGTCTTACTGAAGACCACCGTCAGCTTCTGGTTGCCATTTCTACGGAGAATCGAAAAGCAATTAAAGACTGGCCTGGTTCAGGTCCCCCGGGAGACACTTACGGCGAACTGACTGTCAGTTCTAGCATATTGAGCTGGGTGTCGTTCGTCTGGCGCTCGGATAGCTGCCGCTGGACGTCGCGATGAAGCTCGCGGATAACGTCCTCGAGATACTGGTGTGGATACTTTAGGGAGGCGGTGATGTCGCTGATCTGTTGCAGCTTGCCGCAGTCGTCGGCCAAGCTCTCGATTTCGTTGACGATTCGCTTGATGTTCTCGTCCTTGGCTGTGGGAGGAAATGTGTTGGCAAGTCAGAATACTTCTTGCTCAGCTGGTGGTCAGTGCGGATGGAGTGGAAGTGTCAACTCACGCTTGACAATCTCCAGACAGTCCAGTGAGATTTTGGTGAGACATTTGTACTTGTTGGTCTCCAGCGTGGTAGCAACCGTTCCCGGGCAGATGCTGCTGCTGGGCTTGCGGATGGTGCCGCTTCGTTTCTTTATGCTGGTGAGGACGAGCAGGTCGTTGAACAGGAAGAAGCCCCGGTCCTTGCGCGCCCCCGCACCCGAAGGCATCGAAACGAGATCGAACAGAAGGAACTGCCGCTCGGGCGCTGTCAGATCGGTAATACCCTCGATCACGCCCTCCAGCTCGCGCAGAGTCGCCTCGCGCTGCCCGTTCTCCATGATCTCGCGCTCCTTGCAGTTGATGTGCACCAGAATGTCGTGGACTAGCTTCAACACGTCCTGCAGGTGCTTCTGATCGGGATGATCGTGATCCGTGTGCTTAATCAGTCGCTGGAACAGAAGCTCGTAACTAGAACAGCATTAGAGAGGGAGATCTCTTAGGGAAACCTGCTTCATGAGATATCTTACTTGGGAAACTTTTGCACTGGCTTGATTAGCAGATTGTCGAGGGTGAGTTTTCCCTTGTGCTCGCGGGAGGTGGACTCCAGGAACTTGGCGAACGATGGTCGCTGGTGTTTCATGGAGCGAATGGCGTTCTTGGCCCGATTGCAGTTGTTCACAAATGATGTGTAGACCTCAAGGACCTCCAGCTTCGAGAACTGCATGTAATTGTACGGATATGGGTGAGAGTTGAAGTTAAACTATCTACGAGATATCCTTACCGTATCCATAAAGGCATCGCCCACTTTCTGCTGAACATCCCAGTCATCCAAGCGATGCTTGAGATCTGCCAAGAACTTTTCGTGTATCTCGAGAATGTCCGGGACCATGAAGAAGATCTCGTCCACGGTGCGGGTGTCAATCATGCCGGCGTGCTCGGGTGCCTTGAGCACTTTCAGATACTTCAGAACAACAGTCTGCAGAGACTCCACGTAGGACTGCTCGTTGCGGTAGATCTCTTGGACAACATATGTGCGAGTGTCCTGCAATGCAAATGATACGGAAACAGGGATTATTTTTTAGAGTTTCTTCTTTCGCGGGGAATGCGATTGAGAGATGCAAGGACTGGTTATTGGTTATTGGTTAATCGCGACCAGACTTACACCTTCATAGCCGCCCAGATTCCATTTACTACTCATATCGAACTGTGCCCGCCGCTCGGAGTCATCCTCCGAGTCGGAACAGGTAATCGAAGTCATTTTCTTGAGCCTGTCGCCTTTGTCGCTATGAAAGCCTGCTCCTCCGCCCCCACCAGCACCAGTTCCAAATCCCGCCTTGCTGAGGCGAGCCACCGTTGTGGTGGCCATGGAGACGGCCTGGGAGACGCTGCTGCTGTTGCTGAGGCTGATGTTCAGGCTGCTATTGCTGTTGCTGTGGGAGTTGCCCTGGGAGCCGCCGGTCTGAGCTAGCTGCGACTGGCTTTGAGGCAACAGTGCGGCGGCGGCCACAGAGTTCGAGGGAGCGGTCAGGGTAGCTTGGAGATCCAACAGACTGAGACGAAGATTCTCGCGGTTGTGCGACATTCTCGGGAATGTGTTTAATTGAATGTTCCGAGTGGTTCGTTCGTTCGATCGTTCACCGAACTGTTTCTTCTTCTGTTTTCACTGCCACTCACTGCTAATTTTGCTGCTGCATTCTGAGTGTTTTTTTTTTGGTAATAAAAGGAGGAGGCGACACCACAAGCAACCGGTCATCACACGTCTGCTCTAGCTGCGTGGATTCATTGCACTGCTGCTGCTGCCGCAGCGAGTGCAACTAGCCACACCACACCACACCACATGCAGCATCCCCACGCAGGAAGCAGCATTGCTCCTCGACTGCGTAGCCGTCGAGTGGGAGAACGAGAGAACCCACTTGCCTACGTCCCAGACTGCCAGACTGTCAGACTGCCAGACGAATTGGTGGTGGAAAGAGTCACACAAGGCCCCACAAGTCACTCACTCAGCCTTGAGCCCAGGCCAGGCCAGCCTTCCTTCGTGCTGGATACTGCGCCTGTCCATGCCTCATGGCCCTTGGTCTCTGTGTGTGTCTGCTTTTGTGTGGTTTGATAAATGACACTGACCGTGTTTTTGTTGTTGTTGTTTCTGTTGTTGTTGTGCATGTGCTCCTCATGTATGAGTAGGTCTAAGTGAAGGCCAATAATGACACAACAACAACAACAAGAGGACCATCTGGGAAAAGGGAAGGCGTGGGCCAGGTGCACTTGGTGCCAGTCACAGCTTAGGAGTATATTAAGTGCTATTTTCTGTACTGTGTTCTGTTCTGCTTTGGATTAGTGAATCACAGTTACGTTAGCAGCGGAATTGATTGATTACACATATGTAAATACATATGTACAAATGTATGTAAAACAGTAATCTCCCACTTGTGATATCTACTGGGAGGAGACAGTGGAGCAGCATACATTTGTGCGCAGTTAGGAAACAGTGGCATTGCAGTTACTGCCCTACTCCCCCACACACACACATATGTTTCACAGATTCCATTTTACAGTTCACAGACTGATACACACACGCAAACACATACGGATGGGGGATGGGAGACAGGTAATTGATTCTCTCTTTCCTTTCTTTAATCTCCACATCCATACACTCCACTTCACCTCCAACCACCACTCTACTCCCTCCTGCTGAGAGTGCGGTTCCATTACAGTGGGATAAGTTTTGAGAGTTTATATTTGCACTCACAGATACACACCTACACATTCACATTCACATACACACAATGTGTAGAATGGGGATTGCCGTAATGCGGCGCAACAAGAGGTTGGCCTTGTGCAGTCAGGTACACAGATACACACACGCACACAGGCACAGACAAACTCTCGGATATACAGCAAAAAGAGAAGAAAATTTAATTCGTATGAAAATGAAAAGTGAATTTTCTTTTGCTTTTCATTTTGATTTTGATTTTCCATCTTGCTTTCATTTATTTGGCTGAACAACACGCGTTTTTTTCTCGATGGTTTGATGGATGTCTCCAGAGATTTATGTTCCCACGCACCACTACATACGAGTATGTATGCAAAAACGTCTCTGTATTGACTCTGTATTTTGTACTCTTTTTAGTTGAAATTCGTGTTCCGTTTTGATTATTTTTCGTGCGCCATTGGATTTTTTGCTGCCACAAAATAAACTAACAAACGAAACATGAATAATTTCGCCACACAATTGTCGTAGAAAAGCAAATAAGAATTTAAACGCGCACAGCACACAGTGGACGAACGTTTCGGCGGTCGGCTGATTGTGCTTATGCTGCTACTGCGCGGGAGAGAGCAGAGAACAATGGGTGTATGGTTTGTATGGACAGCGAACAGGAGTGCGCGCCGCCACTCGACTCGACTACTCGACTCGCTGAAAACATTCCATTGTGCCATATACACACTTAATTTCCATTTTTCATATTCCAAGCAACACTGAAAAACCAGCAGCAAGAGCAGCAGCCGCCCTGCCACCCACACACACACACACACACACACACACATCAGAGAGAGTGTGTGAGAGAGAGTCTGGTTGGAGAGAAAAAAAAGAGTTTCGTAGTAAAACTTGGATTTGTGTAGCCAAACATTAATTATCGATGTGAACGGTGCAGCGCGGCAGCAGGAAGCCAGCAGCCCATAAACATAGTTATGTTCCGTTCCGTTCCCCTCCAAACCAGCGCCACACTCAGCTGTTGGTGGTACACCGTTGGAATGACCAGAGTAAGGTACATTAAACAGAAGGTGCTGTGCTCTCAGAGCGACAGCCGCACTAAGAGAGAGCTAACAGATACCAGCTTTACCTCCCATCGAACATACTTTACGCGCGCACCGAGAGAGGCCAGGCCAGGTGCACGACAGAAGAGAGCGATTCCAGGGAATTGTGTTATATTTGCATGCGACAAGTGTCTGATTAGGAGAGTCGGTTGTTGTCTATACTAAAGTATTTTCAAAATGCGTCAACACTCAAAACTTTCAACAGCGTCAATTGCATATGTTTATATATAGATATGTATGTATGTATTTACATATGTATGTATAGTGGGTATGACTAATCTAATAGTTGGAAACTACTTTAGTTCAGTCATCGCTTAATGCCACTTGGCTGCGATTGCTGTAAAAATAGTCTGCTCCACAACCACTGTGCCTGGAACGGAATTCTCCTAACACACTAACACACATTTCCAATGCCCACCGTTGTTGTTTTCTATTCCTGACGCATGCGCACTAGAATTCACATTGCCTCCTCTGCTGGCGTTGCTGCCACTGTCGCTGCTCTGCTCTATCTCTGCTCACACCCACGCCGCCACGCTATGCACTTCCATTTTGAAAGGAAAACAAAAGCACTGCCGAATGTGCGTCAATGTATGTGTGTGTGTTTACAGCAAATCGGCAAGAAAACAACAGTGATCGAACGGCGGAAACTGCGTTGGCACTGGAAAGCAGCAAGAATGGGAAAGATAATAGAGAAAAGAGAAAGCGATGTATGCATACATGTTCAGACATGTTCAGAATCACGTATTTGGGATTGACAGGCCGCTTAAATAACAGTAGTCTACTTAATAGAGTAATTGAAAGAAGCAGACGAGCAGTGAGTAATTATGGTCTTCTGAAACTGGAATGCTTGGGAATAACAAATCACCTAGAAAAAATTCCCCAATAAATGATGTTCTCAAACTCACCGCAATTGTTTTCTGGCGCTGCTCGGAGAGCATATTTTCGCTGGATCCCTTCAAAAGTTCCGCCAACAGAGCGGGCGTTGGCTTCAAGTCCAGCGTTGGACCGGCCGCTGCAGCAGCAGGGGCAGTCTTCGTTTTGGCACTGACATTGGCGTCCAGGCTCCTTTTGGCTGTATGATGATGACTATGTCCGTGACCATGACTGTGACCATGGGCGTGATGATGGTGCTGGCTGGGCCGCTCCGTGCTCATGGACAGGCTACGTTTGCTGTGGTGCGTCTTGGGGGCCGGCGCCTCGGAGGCGGCTCGCTTCATATGGTGCACCAACTCCGCTTCGCCTAGGTTCTTGGCGGATGCGGAGATCGGGGCAGCGGAGGCTATGCCCTTGCTGGTGTGTTCCAGCTGCGATGGCGTGGACGCGGCCCGGGTATGCGACGGCACAGGAAGATACGTGCTCGTCTTTCGTACCCGCATCGAGTTGGAATACTGCGGAATATTAGGGCGGGGGCTGCCACTTGAAGCACCCACTGGAGCCGAAACACCAGCAGCTCCTCGCAGATGCAAGCTAAAAGAGCAGAAAGCAGAGGTTAGTCTCATCCAGCAGCTGGGGGACTGCTCACTCCTTTACCTGTCTGTTTCACGCAGCTCCTCGAGGATCTCCTCGAAGTGCATCCGGTTGGGCTTCTTCATCTCCGCTTCGAGCATCTGACCGTAGGGACCGCGCAGAGGGCGCTTCGAGAATCGCTTGTAGTCGTTGTCACCGGAGGAGGGCGTGGGACTGGAAGTGATGCGATCCCTGGCGATACGGTCGCACTCGTTGTCAGATGTGGAGTCGGTCCGTAGGAAGCTGAGACTCTTGCTGGAGGCGTCGTCCTTCTCCTCGCTGCTATGGCAGCTAAAGTTGCTTAGCAATCGCGTTTTTTCGCTCGACCCGCTGGATGGACCCCAGGATGGGGCACCCTTCTCCAGCTCGGGCGTGTTAAGTTCGAAGGAATATGCGCTGATGGGGCTGCTAATGTAGATCTGCGAGGAGTGGGCCTCCGGGGACTCGGGCTTAATGGCATTGAGGTTGGTCACACCGATGTCTACTGCTAATCCGCGATGGGCGACTGCCTCTGCCGGTGCCGTTGCCTGCCAGTCGGCGTTGTCTATATACATGCCTTTCCGTTTGGTGGAGTTGTCCAAATGCCGCCTCTGGCGCTCGTCCGTGCTGTGCCGGGGAGTGGCTACGGTCTCCAGAGAGCTGCGAAGTTCGGGGCTGGACAGATCCAGGTCATTGTGGCTGTACTGCTTGCAATGCTGCGGCTCCTCTGCCGACGTGTTCCTGGCGGTTGTCGCAAGCTCTACTTGAGGGGCATCGTCTATCCTGACCACTCCATCGCCCTCCTCCGAGGAGCGGCTCACCGATATTGTGGGCACCAGGTCACTCCTCACGGCGGTGGTCAGCGTCGACTCTGTTTGGGACACCTTGCAGGCAGCGTGCGAAACTGGAGGCTGAATTGTCTCCGGAACTACTTCCACCCACTCCTGGGCGGGCGTCTCCAGCCACTCTTGTGCAGCGCACTCGTACACTGGCACGGGAATTTCGCAGGTGGTGGCCGTCTGCAGGAAGTTGTCTGGTGGAGACTCTAGTGGCAGCTGCTCCTCCATCAGCGTGGCCAGATTTGGGGCACTGCCGCCTGTGGAGGCGGGCGGGGTGACCTCCATGGGCTGCACAATGATGGTAGCAATCTCCTCCCTGATGAGGCAGTCGCTCTCCGACTGAATTGTGTCTGTCAGGGATTCCATGGTGGCATGGGCGGCTATCACGCTGCTGGCGGTGGCCGGTGCTGGGTACAGGATGCCCGAACTGCTGCCAGAGACCTCTGTGCTGAAAATGTCCTCCTCCTGGATGGAGTCGTGGTCCAGCGACTTCTCCTGCCCGTAATTCAGGTTGATGCTCAGCTCTGTCTTCTTCAGAGGAATGTGCACCCAGCCCGGACCCTCCTCCCTCTCTCTGGAATGCGTCGGACTGGGGCTGGGCTCTTCGATTGCTTTTTCACGCCTCAGGCGATCCCTCAGGGCGCTCAGCGTGGACTTGCAGTCGATTTGCGAGAACGAAACGGAGCGAAACGGAATTCCCTTTGGCGCATACGAACCGATCACGGTCCGCAGCTCCGGTCTCGATGCTTGCGGCGTACTCTCGCTACTGCTTCGTGTTGAGGCATCTACGCATCTCCCCACAGCACGCTGCTGCTGCTGCTGATTCTGCTGCTGCTGCTGATGCTGCGTCGGTGGAGGCGGGGACTTGGACTTCTCACGGTTGCTCAACATGAAGGCCTCCAGGTTGGAGAGACTTGTGTTGGGTTTAAGGGAGGCAAAGAGGCGGGCGGCCGTGCTCAGGCCGCCCCCGCTGCTGGCTCCCCTTACGTTGACATCGCTGCTGCTTTCGGATGTCTGACTGGCGCCCGTGTCCTGGCGCTCCAGGTAGGTGCCACGCGGCTTTCGTGGCGGCGGCACTGGCGGTGGTGGCGGCGGAGGTGTGGGCGTGGATGAGGCTCTGGAGCTGCTTCCCCCGGTGCCTCTCAGCAGCTCCGTTAGCTCCTTGAGGCGCTCCGAACGATCTGAAGTCTTGCGCTGCTTTTCCGGGCCTCCAACTGCTGCTCCGGAAGATGAGGATGAGCCAGAGGCGTTGGCGTTGGCGGAAGCAGCTGGCAAGGACTTGCGCCCGAATCCCAGGCGCTGTATCCTGTCCAGGGTGTTATGTCGTTTCTCCATTGTGTGCTGAAGGAATTATATGAGTTAAATGTTCATTATTCACCATCGAATATTCACCAACAACCTTCCCCCCTCTGGGTGTGTGTCTTTTTATGGACTATCTATGGGCGTACTTCCCCCATGCGCACCATCCATACACACCCTTACGAAAGTTAAAACAAACAAATCCCAACACAATGCGAAGAGAGGCGAACAAATTGAGTCAACGCGGACTGCGTATGTGTAATGTGGGATCAATATAGTTAGCCATAATCAGCATTCCTAATGACATGCCATGGGATCAAAGATAGAGGATGGGCCACTGTATGCATTCTAGTTGCCTTCCCTACCCTGCCGTCATTAAATTCACTGCACAATGACACACATACCACACCATAGAGAGATCCCAGCAATACAGCCCAGAGAACCTCCCCCAAAGATCGGAAGAGGAGAGGAGTAGAACGGAGCAGAACCATGCACACACAATGTAAGACAAGTCATAGAGCAGCCAACAGTTCTATATGGTGTCACTCTATATATAAAGCAGAATCTTGTATACATTCGCATACAGTGATATTTTTAGTATAAACAACAGAACTCTCGAAAGAATAAATGTACGTATTCCACATGTACATATATCTATGTATATGTATTTGGATATATGTATCTATACGATTATGTATAGATAGAATATACAGAACATAAAAGAGATCGTTGGCTACGACTGGGAAGAATGAATGAGCGGCACGGACAGACAAACTTACAATCCACTCAGAGAATAAAAAGTATAGAAAGTATCGAACTTAATCAAATCTCATCTGTAGGAATATCTTAATAAAATAATGGAAGATTAGCGCCAACAGCAACTATGGGGAACTTATACTCAACGCAACTCATACTCTTCACAATGATTTTTTTCCAGTGTACACATTAAAAGATTCACACAAATAACACAAAAGTAGAGCAATACCAACACAGAAATCTCTTCCGAACAATACTCTCTCTCTCTCCATTTCTTTGAACGAACACAAATGCAACCGTTAATCCGTAATTCTCTCGCGGTCTCTCCGAAACGTGCGTTTCGTTTCAGGTGGTACCAAGACATCATCGGTCTCATCTATCCGATTCTATTCGTTCTCTGTCGGATCGATCTTTTTGCTCAATTGAACGTGAATCGGTCATATATGATTTATGGGATCAATAAAAGTTGATCAAAACAAAAGGTTTATCGCCGAAAATTGCACTCACTGACAGTTTCGCTGATGAATTGTTGGCCATCGATGTTAAAGAATATGGTATATCTATGTATAAATGTACCAACATTTGTTTATCTACCAATTTAATGACTCATATCCGATCTTCAATCTTCTCACTCCTATTTACCATCTATATTAGGAACTTACCCCGTTCTCCTTGTTGAATGAAGAGCATAGATAGTCCAAATGGGGATTACAACTGCAGGGAAGGAGTAAATGGTTCGACTTGTATGGGACCTCGTGTGGATTGTGGTCCTGTTGGGTAGATGGGTTCACTGGATGAGTTCTGGCACTTTGTTCTGTGGTCACTCGCGAGGGATCTGGATACGGATCGGACACAACTTTGAGTTCTCTGTACTGCTGCGGGTTGGGATGATCTCCGGGCGTATGCAATCGAGATACACTCAGCGACTTGTGGCGCACACCGGTGGCCCGGCGGCTCTGCTCTCTTTCCACTGCCACTTCCGGTTCAGAGTCGAAGGTCAGACGTCCGTGACGATCGTAGACCAGCGATCGCGGCGTTCCTCCACTCGAACCGAACTTGCAGTTGTAGTTGTTGTTGTTGTTCCCCTCGAAGGCATAAGGCGGAAAGCCCTTGCGAATGCAGCAGTAGCAGCTACTGCCGTGTGGCGACCTTGTCGAAGGATAAATGCGTGGCGTACAGACCAAGCGGCGTGTCTTCAGAGCGGGCTCATCGCTGCTGTTGTTCGACTCCTGGCAGACGCGTGGCTTGGGCGGCACAGGCGGAGGACACCTTGGCTCTGGTCCTGGTCCTGGCTCTGGCTGGTGATAGTTCCGATAGCTAACTGTCGCCGAGGAGTTGTAGTGCTGCAGTGTCTGAGAGGGATTCCACTGATGTGCTGTGGGATGTTTCTGCTGCTGCTGCTGTGACAGTTTTTTGTCAATTGTATAACAACAAATTGCCGCTGACTCGTCGCTGATTTCAGATGACAGGGACAACACTGGCGATGACGCGTCTCCCGCTGTTTTTGCTTTTGCTGCTGTTGGTGTTGACTTTTCCGATTTTGTAGCTGATGTACTTGGCTCCCGATTTTCTATTTCTATAACCGGCCGACGGGCAACGTCATCGTCATCAACATCATCATTATGATCATCATCATTATGTTCATTATTACGATTATGAGCATCGACATCGACTAACACACGCCTCTTGGAATCGACCTCATCCCCGTGGAAGACAAAGCGGAACGACGACAAATCGGACACTGAATCGCAGTCCCCCAACGGCAACCCCTGGGGCAGCGGCAGACCGTGTCGATCCATGGCGCTGCCAACTTGTTGATGCCTCTCTCCGCAGCAATTCTCGCACAAAATCCGTGAGCTTTTTGCCGCCAACAGCTTTTGCTCTTGCAGCTGTTGCTGCTGCTGCTGCTGTTTCGGCGTCTGGGCAAAGTATTTGGCAATGGGATCGTACTCCTCCTCATGATCGTTGTTGTTGTTGTTATTGAGGTGCTGATAGGAGAGCTGTGGCCTGACCCTGGACTCCTGCCAATGAGTGATCATTGTCGATGTCTTCGGTTGGCGGGGCTGCTCCTCATTCCATGACAACTTCTTGTAGCCGCTCCCACGCACTCCCCGCTGTCCCAGCTGCGGTGTGGCAGGCAAAGAACTAGAAAGCTTCAGTGGCGGAAGATGGGCTACCTGTTGATCAGCTGGAAGAGGGAGAGGCAATTCTGTAGCTGTGGCTTCATTGGGGGTAAGGATAAAGATTGTGCTTACCAGCAGTACTGGCTTCTCCTTCGAGATTATTAATTTCACTGTCGACAGTGCGGCTCGAGTGCCGCATGCAGCAGCAGTAGTTCAGGCGGCTGTTTCTTGGCCTTCTCCTTATCGCGTTGTTACCCTCTTCGGATAATGGCGAAGGAGTGTTGGGATCTGTCCTTAGGTCTCTATTTCTGACCCTGAAAGCGCAAGAGGAGGCAGTTAGATTGGGGCTGGCAAAGGAAACATGGATCTTAAGAGAGATATTAAATATGCAACATGGACATGCAGAACAAAGCAACCCAAAGCTTACACGATTACAGGGTACAGCAAGCGTTCGCCCAAAAGCATGCAATACAGATACATGCTAATGATAACAACGTTCATTCCACATTGCATTCCTTCACCTATTCCAATTGATGCCATTCACAGTCGTTTTCATTGCGAAAATCTCGTATTTCGTTGGCCTTGGTATCGTTTCGTATTTAATACATCCGTGAAGTGGCTTCGGCATTGTCCTGCCGATCGGAGGATCTGCCAATAAAAGAATCTCTGGACTTAAATGCAAAAGGCAATCCCATGTGTGTCCCGATTTGGTCGAGTGTATGCTTGCGGCAAAGTTCAGTGCCTCAAAAGTAAAGCACAACCCGCGTCTATATTTAGACAGTGCGACGCATTCCTCATCTCCAAGCGTTCGGGGAGTACAGTGCGTTACAATAAAGGGTAATGAGAGAGGGGAATCGAAACAATTTCCAATAGATATTTCTTCCTCAAACGTAGACCCCGAGAGTTACGCATGTGGATTTTTAGCACAGCTCCGCAGAGCCATGACCATGACAGACCAGTCCCCAACCCACCGCAACCCCACTCTAGCTCCCCTTTATAACACTCTTCCTCCAACCCCCCCCCCCCCCCCGCTTTTAGCTGTCATTAAATATGTTTAGTTATTTTCTCTCCTTTTTGTTTTTACAATCCCCATTGTCTTTTGGTTTCGGGGTTCGGTTGCATTACTTTGCGGGGCTTTGTTTCAGAGGAAGAGACTTTTTCTTTGAGGCTGAGCGTTTTTTGTGTCCGTTGAGCACAGCTGGCTGCTGGCTTTCTTATACGCTTAATTGATGTTGAACAAACAGCAGAGCATGTTGCAAGCACTACTCAGAGACGTCTCCAAACAGCCTTGTCGTCGTTCCTTCTTTATACCCGGTACTCGAAGAGTAAATAGGGTATATTGTATTTGTGCGAATAACGGTTGTATGTAACGCACAGAAGGAAACTTTTCCGACCCCATAAAGTATATATATTCTTGATCAGCATCAATAGCCGAGTCGATTGAGCCATGTCTGTCTGTCCTTCTGTCCGTCTTGTTTGTCGGCTAGTTCTCAGAGACTATAAGAGATAGAGCCACCAAATTTTGCATCCAGACTGCTATATGCTCACACTGAAACCAGTGTATTTAAAAAATTAGCCCCGCCCCCGAAAAAGGGCGAAAACCTCCCAAATCTACAATTTTGAAGATAAAAGAAAAAGATAAAACCATTTCGTACGGAATGACCATATCTATCAGATCACCAAATTGGGATCCGATTGGATCATTATTAAGCCACAATGAAGAAATTAATTCCCAGTGGCTAAGCCCACCCCGTCCCGCAGCTTATATTTGTTTTTTGCACATTTTCTCATTCACACTCTGCTTCGCGCAGACTCGTCTATGCCTCTGCCGCGTCTCTGCCCTGAGTCTGCAGTGTGCGGCTCTAGGGGAGGGTGGCGAGCTAAAGGAGCGTGTTGGCGTGAGTAGTGTTGTTGATGTAGATGAAAGATGAGAAAAATTTAAAATTTGACAAATAACCGCTAAGGTACAGATGTAGTACTGAGTGCAGGGTATAAAAGTTGTGACGCGTAAGAAGCGTCTCACACGTCCCTTCTCGTTTTTTTTTTTTAAGCGAACAAAAAGCTTTGACATAACTTTGGGTCGCTCCTCCGTTTATTGAGAAGGTGGTGCGCAGATGTAGCCAGTCTCCTCCATAAGTGTTTATCAATCGAACAATATTATCATTATGCAGACTATACATATGTATATATGTAAATATGTATATCATCAATATGTCATATAATAGAGGAGGAAATCCCGCATCTGCCGCCAAAATATCATTCCGCAAGCTCACCAAAAATACTTTTTTTCTGGCGCGAAGATACAGTTTTGAGTAAAAGATGCTCATGACGAAACAATTGCAGTGTCGTGTACAGTGCGTAGCCAAAATATATCACAAAATCTCTCAAAATCTGTTCTAGCCATTCTATTTTGCCATGAAACGGACTGTAGATGTGTGTGTCCCGTGGACTCGTGTGTACATTGAATTTTGTGTAAATCATTTTTTAGCTGAGATCTCTCGAGACACATATAAATGTTTCTGTTGCGGCGTAATCACTCAGGAATGCAGCTCCACAGATACACAGATATGTACATAGATAGATGGATAGATGCGAATACGCATCTATAAATACACCCAACAAGATATAAATGTCTAAACAAAGCTCCCGCTTATCATTCATCCAGCTGAAGTTGCACTTGTCTACACCCAACAGCAGCTGCAGATGCAGATGCATTTCTATCTATAGCTGTAGCTATAGCTGTATCTGTATCTGGTAATTAGAACCAACTCAAGGTCAGGCAACAGCTGCTTTTGAGTTAGTATCACATTTGGATGGAAGCAAATCGTTCCGACTTTAGCATATAACTGTCATACTTCCAGATAACAGCGAAGAAGAGCTTCTGAATAAATATATGTGCATATGTACATATATCTTTTTCTAGTGTTTGCCCATGGAATACCATCGTAGATCAGATAAGCCAGCGACAGATAAAGATCTGGCGGCCAGGCAAAACAAACGTCAGCAGGCGGCAATCAGAATTTAGCATTCAGAGACCCATTTTGAGATAAACAAGATGTAAGGTAGACATTCCCCCAAGATGAGAAAACAGGAACACTATTTTAAGACCCTTTTCAGATATAACCGAGAGATGTAAGACCTCCTGTAAAAGACGTTCTACATTTGCAAACAATTAATATCTGGGATTGCGCCTATGGACACAATAATCCTCCTTTGATATGAACAAAATGCGAACACCCCCCCCGAAGAGAAAAGACTCTTGATTATAAATAGTTTATTGCCAGGGCAGGGCGGCAATCATAAATAAAGAAAACAGAAATTCAATTAAATTCATACTCCGACCGAAATCTATGTATGTGGAGAGGACCATTAAAAAACCATAAAAGTTTTGACATTTTGCGAACATTTTGCTGTCAGCTGCAGAAGCCTCTCCGCCGCTTCCAATTCCAATTCCATCTCCATCGCCCATATCCCATACCCATAATAATAACAATTAAGCCTGACAACGCGCCATGCCTCATGCTGGCTCTCTGCCGTTCCCCGCCCGTGGTAACACCTATTTTTTCTCTTCTTGTTTTTGTTGTAACTATTTCATAGTTGAAGCAGGCCTCCGCTTTGGACTGCCCTCCGCTTGTGCCACTTTGACTGACAAGTGACAGCCCTCTACCGCATACCCCCATGACTGCATGCTGCAAGTTCGCGTGTTCCATTGATCCACCATCAGCTGGGGCATGCAAAATGCTTCTTTGTTATGGACTTTATGATTAATCTGCGCAGCGTTTCAACGGCCCATCAGCAACACCTCCTGCATCCAACACTTTGCATGACAGCGGCATGGCAGGGGGGATCCCCTGAATCCTCTGAATACGGCTGGAGATGTGTTCGCATGATGCACCTACAGAGAGCTTTGTAGAGTGAACTTGGACTTTAAATTGAAATCAAGAGTGGCTCAAACAACAATAAGTTAAATCGAATAAATAAATGGAATGCCATAGGAAAAGTCTCCTCTTTCTTTCGTGTTAGTTTCAACTATTAGCTAACTAAGTTGAGCTTGAAATAGTATCTCATAGTTCAAGTTCAGATTCAGATTCAGGTGGGTTTTTGAGCAGGCAGAACAGGCACTTGGAGATACCCGACACTGGCAGTCTAGGGGGAGATTTCACGGCATGTAGCACTGGCCAAGCCTCAATCGAAAAGGTAAGTGCTAGGCACCTGTGGAAACCACAGAAAGGTAACCAACACCTCGAGGCAAAGCCGGGCATGGATAGACTGATATATAGATTTAGAGAGAGAGAGGGATAGAACGAGAGAGAGAGAGAGAGATGCGTAATTCCAGATGCATTCACCATTAACTTAGAAAACGATTAAGAATTTTACTGGACTCGAATTGTGTCAGTGAGTCAGCGAAGTCGACATTTCACTTTTGATTTTCGAATTTCGATTGGGTACCCAGGTTTACCCAGAGCTGAGCGTTTACTTTCACGAGCATCTGACCCTATACGTAGTTCACTCAGCTGAACTCCGAACTCCACAAACTTAATGTAGAAGCGATTGCAGATGCAAATGGCAGAGAAGGAGTGGTGTGCAGTGGAGGGTGGAGGTTGGAGGGATCTGCAGTGCACAACATTCAATTAGTACATATTAAATTTGTTTGCCTCTTGTTGTTGGTTTCTCTTTCAGCAGATGTGTTTTTTTTTCGGAGGTTTTTCGGCTCTTTCTCAGACTGGCCGAGCGAACAATGAAGCGGAACTTGACTCGAATTAAGTTTTTATGAGGCGCATTTTGTAGTTTGTATCTGGTTCCTTGAATCAGCGGCAGACAGCAATAAATTGTGTTATGAAAGTGCAGTTTAGTGCCGTGTGCCGACCCCGTCAAGAGTCAAAGTTGAGCTCGCAACAACAACAGCCGAACAGTCGCCCGATTGTTACATCGATTCGCGGGGATACATTTCCGACAATCAGCAGATTCAGCGCCCCGATTGGAGATTGGAGAGTTTGGAGATCGGGGCCACAGGAACAGCAGGAACGCACAGCCAGGCACAACTTTCATAATTCTTTTTGTTGGTAAGCGAAAAAGGGTTCCCTGGGTATGCTGCTCGTATCTTTTTTAGGCATCATCGGATCGGAATTTAATTTCCTATTTCACATGCTCGTAATATGAAAGTTATTCTCATTTCGCTGTGATTTATTTCCATTATGTAAGCTCCGTCTTCCATGATGGTATATATGCAAAGAGTTGTGTTGTGTTCCCATCAAAGTTCGATCAACAATCGTCGTTTCCTAATTTTCGGTTTCCCTGTTTCCCACTCTCTCTCTCTCGCTCTCTGTCCTCCTCCCGAAATGCTTAATTTGGTGCTCGAACTAAATGCATGCAAAGATGCAGATGGATAGCGTTTTGGGGCGGAGTGGGCGTGGCTGCAGCTAACTACTGACGAAGTCGTGAGTATCACTCAAATTGCCTTGCCGCATTCATCATCTGGAAGGGGGTTCGCCGGGAGACCCATCATACCTGGCACCACACACCACCAGCAGCCACAGCAGCAACATGTGAATCGCCAAAGAGAGAAGAAACGATCGGAGATCGGAGGAAGGCGTGTCCAGCTGAACTCTTTTGGCAGAGACGACGTCGTTATACATATACATTGGTGCTGCCCAGACTCGCCAGATCAGACCACACTTCTCCCAGCGACAGTTGCAAACTTTCTCACCTCGCATCGGGAAGCGACTTCTGAGCACAGTCGCAGTTCCCAGACCCAGACCCAGATCCACAGCTAGGCAATAAAAGTTAAGGCAGAGTGACAAACCAAAATGGTTCGGAGCGGCCAGGAGTCGGAATCGGAATCGAAATACGAGTCGGAGTCTGCTGCTTTTCATTACTTTATTTTCGAGTCTAAGCTCAATCTGAATCTGTCTTGCCAATATAACAACGGCGGCCACAACAGCCTCATGGCTCCAGAAACGGGAAAACTGCGGACTGCCGGCGCTGCTCGTTTAAATGCGGCGTCGCAATCACATTCGTTGTTCGGAAATCCAAAACAGACAGACAGACACGACAGAAAGAAAACAAGAAATAAGTATATTACTTAAGACGGCAAATGGTTTAGCTGCACATCGAATTCTCTGTGCCCTTTTGGAGTGGTAAAACATACGAGTAGAGGGAACATTCGAGCTAGATTCATTGACATCTAATTTTAATTAGTGTGTTGATGGAAAGTCTTTAATTAGAAACCCCTTTGGAGCTATGAATATGAGCATTCATTCTAGCATTCGGGCAAAGGGTATACCTGCACACACACACACAGCAGCAGCAGCAGCAGCAGGAGGAGGACGGACACCGAGGTCGCTAGTGGGAAAAATATAAAACAGAAATCGTTTTTTGCGCAATCCTCACAAATCTGATAAGCGGTTAGAGAGCATTAGACCAGCCAGCACAGCACACACACACACACACACACAAGACGGAACCCCTGCATCAGTCCCAGTCCCAGCATCAGCATAAAGTCAGAGTTAAAGTTAGAGCTGGAGCTAGAGCCAGAGACCCAGTCAAAATCCCCCAACTGGCCTGCAACCGGGGCTAACTTTTGAGTGTGGCTGGCAGCTTAGCCTCAGAGTCTCTCCGTCTCAGTCTAAGTCTTGGGTCTTGGTCTGGGTCTCAGCCATCGCCATCGCCTGCCGGTCCCCAACTTACTGTGCAGTGCCCCACCGGTCCCATTGATGCTCGAAAGCGCTGTCGCAGAGAGTCGCGTCGTAACATGCAACATTACATGCCTATAATTTGTTTTCACACAGCAGGACGTTTTCACTCCATAAGACATCAGAAAGAGGTCTTAAATGGTCACATTACTGCCATTTCCAGCAGCGTTCAAATGGCACCAGGCTCAGCCGAAGGCGAAGCCTCGTCCACTGGACTCTTCCACTGGCCTGTCTTCTTCTGCCTGTCTGCCGTGTGCCAAGTGCCTTTGGGCAGATCTATGCAACGCCTTGTGGGCAATGCAATGATGTTTGCTAACTGCTATTTAATATAGTCATTATTTGCCTACAACTTGTCCCACTGAGCAAATGGCACTTGATTCGACTTGGACTTCGACTGTGACTCCTTCCCATTTCCATTTTTCCCACTTTCAGTCCCCAATTTTGCAACGCATCCCTGCTGCTGCCTGTCCTGCATTCACCGTTGTTTGTCGAACTTTGGCAGGCCAGACACCCAGCCCCAGCCCCAGCTCCAGCTTCATTAGAAATGTGGTAGATGAATATGGGGAGCAGCAAGGAGAAGGAGTTGGCGAATTCCTCTCACCTCAATGCATCGCTGATCGTATGCACAAGTGCTGCAGATGATCAGAGGGAGCATCTCGTCTCCTCCCCCCCACCATGTCATTCTGTTCGAGTATCTGCGGCTAAGCCCCAATTTGGATTATTTGTAGACATTAAGTGGAGAGCCGCAGTCCCCGCTGCTACAGGAATTAAGCCTGTGCGAATGAAGAGTTAAAAATATCCCAAAGCCAAGACTGGCGCGAGTCTCGTCTATGAGCGCCTTGATCCAGTGGGAGCGATAAAGGTGCAGCTGCTGGCTGGACAGTGGATGTGTGGATGTTGCAGAGGCACAGTCAGCAGCATACATGCATAAATGTAATTCAATTGAGTGGCACTGGCACTGGCAGTGGCAGCGGCAGTCGAAAGGGAAAAGAAGGCACATTTACATATGAATACACCGCAGAGTGTCCTTTACCGTTGTACAGCAGACAGCGCAATAACAATATAATAGTAATAAAAGTTAAAGCCAGACAAAACAAAAGCCAAAAGAGTTCCCACTGCAGCCCACACTAAACAAGTTAACATCGAAGCGGTCCAAAAGGCAGCATCAGCAACAGCAGCGGCAGCGGCAATCGGCAGTCCAGCAGCAGTCAACGTCAACACCAACAATAAAAGCCGAGAGGGAAAACATGACCTATGGGGAGAAGCTATTGATACACTACCTATGGCATAATAATAATAATATATTGGATATTGAAATTGATAAATGCCACAAAATGATGGTTGAAATATCTTCAGATTCCAATAAGTCTCAGGAATTTGCATATTCCCAAATCTGAATGTGATCAAAGATGATGGTGAAAATCGTTTTACCCTTCCCAGAAAGAGCATAGCAAAACAAAACGAAGATCGGTGCAGAGAGGAGACAGCTGAGAGGTGGGTGTGGGGGAGGGGGGTGTTGGGGGAAGAGTGGCACAAACCAAACACACAACACAAAAAAAAGTATCTTCAAAATACACATACGAGTAATACGAGTACGAGTATGCTGTCTTTTATGGCATATCTTTTACTTATTTGCCCGCACTTAAGTATCGCACAGTGCGCTGTCGGAGAGCTACGGCGGCTGCTGCTTTTGCTGCTGCTTGTTGGCTTTCTGCCTTTTTTCCTTCTTTCTGATTTTTCGAGTTTTTATTTTTATTTTCGTAAATGAAATGAAATCGAAATACAAAATATGGGTCGGCGCGCAGTCTCAGCCCTCCTCCTGTTGCTGACCCCTCAACCATCCACATTAAAGAGTGAACTCGAAACACAAGCCTTCGCCTTCTCCCATACGAGATCCCCAGAGCAATATTATTGGCACGAATTATTGGTGAGGTGCGGTGGTGCACTTTAAGCCCACATCTCAAGCGAGAAATTGGCCCAAACGTATATGTACATACATGCATGCATATGTATGTGTGTACATATGATTGCGCTTCATTACAATTGGAACGTGAGTCCATGTCGACTACACATTCATATGCGTGTATTTATGTATATTTTCAAAGAACTTTCACGGCAGTGGGTTAATCATTAATTAATTAGATCTGTATCTACGTACTTTGAAAGTGTACTCCTATTCGGAGCCTGACCTTGCCCACGGGCGGAGACGAGACGTGTTGACGAGACGCTGACTGCAAAGGGCCGAAGGCGCTTCGCTGCGTTCTGCTGTGATATGACCTCCCTGGACTTGCACCGTTACCTGGGCACCGTAGCTGATTACACGTGGATTATACACAACACACAATTTATAATTAATCCCGCCTGATGCGCTGTTACATTTACTGCCAACTCTTTACGTATCGCGGCCAACGTTCGTTCGTTCACGTTATCAATATCACATCCGAATCTGGCCAAGAGCAAAAACAAAATGAAGATCGCGCGCGCCACCAGCGCCAGTGATGTGGCTGTTATTTTTAGCTATATTCCGGAAATCTCCATTTATCGCACAGAAATACCGATATTTTTCGGGATTTCTTGATATTTGTGTTTGCTTTTACAATTTGATTATCCTCTTACTAGCACTGTAACATGTATTCAATATCTTAAAGTCAGGGAAACTGATTCAAAAATCTGATATATATTATAGATGTCTGGCTGAGAGTCTTAGTTTGATTGTAATATTAAACAGAAGAGCAACATTGAGGAATTGGATTTTGATCGGTATTTTTTAGGTATATTTTTAGAATGGGGTGTTGCTTCGGTATATTGTTGAGGCTCAGTCGATATATTCTATCGACTTTTATTACATTAATTAAAGTTAATTTTATTTAAAAACAAGTACGAACGCTACGCCCACGCCCCGCCTTAGAAAGAGTGTGTCATTAGTCGAGGACTACTCCATATTGGCTGATCAACGAAAAACTGGTAAATGGCTTTAGTTTTTATGTGGTTTTTATTGACCAAAATATATGGGCGTTGACGCCTGTGGCTGGGGGGACAGCGAGTCACGCAGGCCCAAACAAATTAAACAATTTTTCACGCCACACTCTTTTGACCCATTATTCTTCTGATCTGTTCTGTGATTGCAGAAACATGGTAGTGCTGAGCTCCTGCTGGTCCCCCATCATATGGTCCGACAATGTCCGCACGGGCAGCTACGCTGTGGCCGCATACACGGCCGCATTGTCAGTGGTGATGATCACGATGATCGGCTATATGCTGGCGGGCGGCGAGTCGGCCCAGCTGTATTCGCCACTCTTCGAGACGGACATCAAGAGCTCGATGCCCATAGCAGGCGGCTTCTTCATCATATACTTTGTCCTGATCATTGTTGCCTCCTATTTGGTGTACTTTGGGATAAAGATTAGGTAGGTTAATGGACTTAACTTAATGATACCTACCATATAAATGTCATTTCGTCCGCAGCACTCGCGGCTGGCTGCTGCCCTGGCTTGGTCTCGTCGGCCTTGCCATTCTCTTCCAGTTTGGCTGGAGTCTGTGGCTCATCGGTGGCTACTACATTTATGTAAGTGGGTAAACATGCCTCCCCAACCAAAGTTTATTTTCTTACGCTCTCTCCCACAGCTGGAGCAAACCTTTTCGGCTCTACTCAACTTTGTTTGGATGTCCTACAATGTGAGTACCGGCCTATCCCTCTATATCTGATATCTCTATCCACTCTTCTGTGATTCCTTAGATATACTGCTGGCTGGTGGTGTTTTCTCAGTACCAGATCTTCTTGCAAATCCAGAATCCAAACATTGAGCTGCTGATGCCATGATAACCCTGATGAGGTGCAGCCCCAGACGAGGTCTACAACAAGGCTCGAATCAATTTTAGAACACTTAGACTTGACATGCAACAAAAGTCCGTCCAGAGACAGTTTTGTAATAAGTTTTGTAACACATTTCCATTTCCTACCAAATAGTTTTATATAGAGACAATATATTTTACACCTTTATACACATCCATTATACCTATGATTGAATCGAATGCAAACCTTGGTCTGCTTTTTGACCATTAAAAACAATTATTTGTATATCTACCGAGACTTTTTGTTCTTGGATCCGCGGAGAATCCCCGAAGGCATTGATGGATGTAAAGTGAGTTTTTTGTATATGTACGCATTAAATATATGTATTTATATTTAGAGAAAGTTACAATTTGTACAGAAACGTTTAATCGAACAGACGAACTATACCCCCGTGAAGCAGTGGCAGTTCCGAACGGCTGTCGGCTTTCTGGGTGTGTGTGAGTGTGTGCGACCAAGCGGTGAGTCGGATTTGCCAACCATTGGCAAACCATCACCATCCTAGGTTCGAGTGGGATCGAGGATGGTTTTCAAAACACTAAATATACATTATGGTAAATCTTAGGGTCGAATAATATACAAAGCGCAGCGCCAAGTGCTGCTGCACTACCGGCCTGGTGTTGGACACAGACAGGACAATGGTGTTGGGTTGATTGGTTTCTTAGCTGCTTGCGGACTATTCCTAGGTCTTCTCCTCCTTCTCCTTGTTATAGCGCTCCAGCTCCTTGAGGAACTGCGCCTTCGGTTTCATCACATTTGGTCGCTCGCCACGGCAGTTGGGACAGAACCACTTGCCCTTCGGCTTCAGCACCAGGGAAACGCACGAAAAGTGGAACCACTCGATGGGGCACAGGTCGTTGTCGCACAAAATCATCTCGCCAAAAGAGATCTGCAAGGAAAACAACGTTATCTCTCTCTCTCTCTCTCTCTCTGGAGTTCATGGAGTTTTTTTTTGCGTACCTGGTTGCAGACGCAATAGGTCGGCTCATCCGGATCAATGGTCTCCGGCGGCGGAGTCTCCTCGCGTGCATTCGCTGTTGTGTTCGAAGCGCCCGCGCCGCGTACCTTGCGTTTCTTCTTCTTGCCCGAACTGTTGCCGCCTCCTCCTCCACCAGCACCACTGGTTCCACCTCCTCCTCCTCCGCCGCCGCTGCTCGTGCCAGCGGATCCGCTGGCCAGGCTGCCGCCCGAAGCTCCCTGCATGTTTGCCTTGCGCTGACCGGCCCCAGCACTGCCCAGACAGCCCTTGCGCTCCCCATTGCCGCTGCCACTGCCGCCAGCCTCATTGGCCGAGTTCGACTCGTTGCCACCCATCTCCAGGGAGCTGCCGTTGACCAGGCTCTCGTTGCGGCGCCGGGAGCGTTTGCTGCCACCTCTCTGCAGGTCACCGCCTCCGCTGGCGCTCAAATTACCATTCGAGCCGTTGCCACCATTGCTGACGCCGTGGCTGGAGCGCTCCGAGTTCGGGGTGGAGCCTCCGCCATTGCCGGAGATGATGGTGCTCGGGTTGGTCACTCCCACGACGCCGACATACACGGGCAGGCCGTACTGATCCTTCACTGTGAAGCCGCCCACAGTTCCTCCCGGGCCATTGCCATTCAGACCGCTGCTGCTGCCGGCGCCTCCGCCCACGGTGTTCGCCTGGTCCCGCATCGGGCTCTGTAACCTCTGCAACTTCGATGCCGGACAGTCGTCCATCAGCGTGTAGCGGTCGCGCTCCTCCTTCAGGTCGAGGTTCTGCTGGTTTGTGTCCAGCTGCCGCAGCTTGCCGTCGATAATCTCTTGCATGTGGCCGACAATCTGCATCTTTTCGTCCCCCAGCTCCTGGGCCTGAATAAGGCACTGGTGCATTAGGTTCATGCTGCGCGACCGCCGGCTGGAGTCGCTCGAGTTCTGCAGCGTTAGATACAGGTCATAGTAGTGGTCCACGTCGCGAATCAAGCCTGCAAATGGTGCCAACAGATCAAATCAATTCATGCTGATGTAGGGAAAGATTTTGCTCGAAATGCCCACCTCGATACTGGACGTCGATGTCACGGATGCGGGAGAGTTGCCGCTGCACGTCGTCCGGCAAGTTCTCCACGGAATCAATGTAGTTGTCCACATAGGTGGCCGAGTTGATGGCCTCCGACTCGGTTGCAATTGGATTTATCATGTTAAGGTTGTAAGCGCGTCAGTTCGGCTGCTGTCGCTGCTACATCGAGTGACCAGTGGCTGGAATCTGCGGAATCGGTGCGCCAAAGGGACTGCAAAAGGTTGGTTGTGTTACTTTTTCGCTAGTTTTTATTCTTCAAGATAATTTTTGTATGGCGTTTCGAGTCCACTTGCGACTGTACTTGTGTGCGTGTGTATGTGTGCGTAGGTACATATATATGCATATGTTGGCCGTTGGCCAGCACTGTTTTGTTCGATACGATAGTATCAATATTCATAATTTCGTGCTTTGCAGCACTGTGTAAAATGTAGAAGAATATTTTGTAATCTACATTTATGTATTCATGAATATACATCTATATACATCCCGCTCAACTCGTGTGCTTTACTTTGAACACTAACCAAATAGTATAGTAGATTGTCAATTCAAAGGAAGCGAAACGTCACCGCAGAATGTGCGTCGCGAAGTCCCAGGCCTCTGCCAACGTCGCAGCTACAAGTATAAGTGCGTGTAGAACACGCAGCTAGAATTCCCAGCTACATTTGTATAAGTGCGTGTAGAGCACGCAGCCAGAAGTCCCAGCTACATTTGTATAAGTGCGTGTAGCCAATGATTTTTTAGCGCCCAAACCGGTTCTGTCTTTATTCACACGGACACTGCAAGTAATGTATGTGTTGGTGGGCTGACTCTCTGAACTGCGATGTAACGAAAATTCGTTTGGATGATTTGATTTAGTTTTCGGGGCTTGGCGTATGAGCCTGACCTACCGCAACATGTGCAAAATGAGGGGTGGGGTTGGTGGCCGGACCTTTGGGTGTTGGAAAAAATAAATATACCATTAAAAGTTGTTATTGTAATTGTATGCTGTAATTGTTTTATATGCAGATTTTATACTGCTTTACTCAAAATTGTATGCATATATTATGGAAACGCCTTCGCTTCTCGACTTCGTTGCTGCCGTATTATCAACATTGTTACCAAATCCATCTTTTACAGACAAATCTTTTCAGATAAATAAAAAAACATATATATATATGTAAACACATATGGATATATATGTACATGCATCTTTCCAATTTCTGTTCTCGTCGTCGGTTATGTTCTCGACTCCATGTGCGCTTTAATTATTAGCGCTTGAAACCTTTTGCATTTTTTTTTTGTTCTGAGCTCATACTATTTGGTTAGTGCTTTGAATGAAAAGGTATATTACGCAATATATCTTTGATATTTTTGTGGTCATACGTGATTTGACAGTGATAAAATATAACGTCAGGGCCTCTAAAATATACCGAAATATACTTTATCATACCGTGGACCAAAACCATATTATTTCTTTTTTCTTTCTTCGTAGACCTTAAAAGACAAATTGCGCTACTCTTTTTTTCTTTATATTCACCCTATTCACTATCATCATCCCTTCAATTTCCTTTGGGTTAAGGGAAATCCATTTTATCGCGCTCGAAATGGTCACAACCATTTTGCTCCCTTAAATTTTGTCTTATATGTATATAATGGATGATATACATTTTTGTTCATAAAACTATTTCTAAAGTTGATTTTTATTCAAGTCTCTTCAGAAAACAGTCGCTCACGCGAGAGTGCTTGATACGGGTAATAAAGCCCCATAAAGTTGTCAAATTGATGCAATGCGACTCATAATGTCGCTATTGAAAGCCTTGAAATAGATATCGATCCAATTTTGCTCCTGCATATACATTTTTTATTGTCTGGTAGAGCTTTCCCAGTCCTGTCTATAATTTTCTTTTAAATCTTTTTGAAATCTTCTCAAAAATGGGTACCTTCGCAAATATACCGTAATATACCGCAAAATTGTCGAAATATACCTATATATACCGATATACCGTGCATATACCGCAGACTCAATTTCGACGTCAAAATATACCGAAAAGTATAAAATATATAATAAACGGTCACCCTGGCGCATTTGCTCTCTTTCGACAGGTGCCACCATTTTTCTTAACAATTTCCCAGCGGGAAGTTTCAGTCATATAAATAAAAGAAGAGAAATGTGAGAAACTTGTCAATCTGAGGCAATTGGCATTATTACTTCGGCTTAAAAGCAGCCAGTTGAACATAATTTGAACATATCCTAAAAGGGATAGGGTCCATGTACAAGAATTACAACAACGGAACAAGATTTGAAAAATACACATTTCCTCGTCAGGTGTCTCTGTTTCTATTTACATCAATATTTTGTTGATTTGTAGAAAATGTAGTTTACTATGTATTCATATGTATACATATATTGGATTTTGTAGGTTCTGTGGTATTTTTGTACTCGTATTCGAGCCATGAGAAAAAACGGAAGTGATGAATTTATGTCATCTGGCTCCAATGGACTCAATAACGATTAAATGAACCTTATACATATGTATTCGACTTGTCTCAGCGAATTTTGCAGTTTATGGCAGGGGCAGATAATGAGAATATGTGTAGGGATCAGTAAGGAAACTAAGAAATATAATTAAAAGCACGTTTCTGCTTTTCTAAGAACCTTTAAATTATAATTTTTAATTAATTAATCAACATAGGGTATACACATTTCCTCGTCAGGTGTCTCTGTTTCTATTTACATCAATATTTTGTTGATTTGTAGAAAATGTAGTTTACTATGTATTCATATGTATACATATATTGGATTTTGTAGGTTCTGTGGTATTTTTGTACTCGTATTCGAGCCATGAGAAAAAACGGAAGTGATGAATTTATGTCATCTGGCTCCAATGGACTCAATAACGATTAAATGAACCTTATACATATGTATTCGACTTGTCTCAGCGAATTTTGCAGTTTATGGCAGGGGCAGATAATGAGAATATGTGTAGGGATCAGTAAGGAAACTAAGAAATATAATTAAAAGCACGTTTCTGCTTTTCTAAGAACCTTTAAATTATAATTTTTAATTAATTAATCAACATAGGGTATAGATAAAGTCCATATTCCCAAATTANAAAAAACGGAAGTGATGAATTTATGTCATCTGGCTCCAATGGACTCAATAACGATTAAATGAACCTTATACATATGTATTCGACTTGTCTCAGCGAATTTTGCAGTTTATGGCAGGGGCAGATAATGAGAATATGTGTAGGGATCAGTAAGGAAACTAAGAAATATAATTAAAAGCACGTTTCTGCTTTTCTAAGAACCTTTAAATTATAATTTTTAATTAATTAATCAACATAGGGTATACACATTTCCTCGTCAGGTGTCTCTGTTTCTATTTACATCAATATTTTGTTGATTTGTAGAAAATGTAGTTTACTATGTATTCATATGTATACATATATTGGATTTTGTAGGTTCTGTGGTATTTTTGTACTCGTATTCGAGCCATGAGAAAAAACGGAAGTGATGAATTTATGTCATCTGGCTCCAATGGACTCAATAACGATTAAATGAACCTTATACATATGTATTCGACTTGTCTCAGCGAATTTTGCAGTTTATGGCAGGGGCAGATAATGAGAATATGTGTAGGGATCAGTAAGGAAACTAAGAAATATAATTAAAAGCACGTTTCTGCTTTTCTAAGAACCTTTAAATTATAATTTTTAATTAATTAATCAACATAGGGTATAGATAAAGTCCATATTCCCAAATTAATCTTTGATTTGTAGCAAGTATGTAATTACTGTGTAGTAACTATGTAGAACAAATGACAACTTTTTATTCCTTCTTTGTATAAGCCTTTTAAAAAGCTGTAAGAAAAAGAGTTCTTATAAGAAACCATATTGTAGAAAATGTATTAAGTAATCGGATAAAATTAGGTCCTTGCCGTCGAGAATCTCAACCAAGTAATATTCTTTATTAGAATATCAAAATCGGCGAAAATGATTTCCGATCATGGACACACATCGGAACAGTTCGATATATTTTGAAGATGCAACGGTATATTTTGGTATATTTACGAGGCCCTGACGGTATATTTTGTCTACGAATTCGCGGTCACACTGCTGTCTATACAATTTTCTTTTCGCGCATTATTCACATTTAACATTTCCCGTTGCATTTACTTGTGTTGTTTAGATTGAATCGTGTTCGTTCGTGACGTGAATATATTTCTGAGCAGTAAATCTAAAGTCGACAGATCGAAAGCAGCAAGATGATCTCCAATTACGATATCAGCGACAGCAAGTCCAGCAGCAAGTAAGTTTCCAAGGGACACAATTTGCCGGCATTTTTAAACGATGCGGGAGTGTGCGTGTAGTTTGTGATCTGTGTGGGCTAAATGGCGAGTATATGTGTGGTAATGTAGGCGTCGGGCGCACACATTCAAACAATTGTGTGGTGGCACTGGTATTGGTGGTTCTTTGACAAATTTGCAATAAAACGCTTATCGCCTTTATTTTTTGCACTCTTTCGGGTTCTTTTGGCATTGGGCTTCCCCATTACCTCTTATTCTTATTCCGGCATTTCCGTTTCGAATAATAATCTCTGCTATGCTTTCGATTCATATTTCTCTGGTGTTCGTTTACCGCTGTATTGATGTTTCCTTTATTTTTTCCGCATTTTGGGCTGTTAAATGGAGTCGGGCTATAAAGTTAATGTTATGGCCGCGTTTCCTGCCGCCCTCTCCCCCTGGAAACGCCCTTAACAACCAATAGTTGATATATGTACTCCAATGCACCATGGGATGGGATCCAGCTGCAGCCGGAATTCAAAATTTTACCATTTTAAGCGGCAGTAGTACAGTGGTGGTTCTAGTTAAGTGCACACCCCACAAACACACACACATGTGATTGTCGCGGCAAGGCCAGAAAGTGTGCCAGTTTCCAGTTACCCTTCCCTTCCCCTTGCTCTATATCACCAATTCAGTGGACATCTTGAACCCTCCCCTACTGTCCCACTATGTGTTTTTGTACCGTTTGATAGGTTTAATAACACAGTTGAGGCTCTCTTGATCGGACAGCACTCGGCAGTACCAGAAAGTACTACAACTAGTCGCTGTCCTCCCAACAGGCTGAAAATCGATCTTTCTGGGCAACATCTCCCTTGATTGAATTCCCCACCCCAATGAATCTGTCTGTGTGGAGTGCACTGGAACATTCTTCGGTGTCTGCTCCAGAAGAGCCTCCACTGTAATTATTTGTGATCTGAATGGCGCTCAGCCTTTGTTTTTCGGAAGCACTTTATATATGTAAGGAGGAGGTCTATAAGTGGCACCAGCAGCACACTCCTGACT